CTCTCATCTCAGATATCTTCACTGTCCCTCGGCTCGCCTCATCACTCATTATTACTTGTTTTATCCAATTTTCTCACCACTATTCTTTGCTCACTTTGAGACACACATTTCAGTGCTACAACAGAGTAAAGTGTGACGGTTTTCGCGGATTCCTGGCTTCTTATCCTTGAAACGATTGCTATTTCATTACGGAAATTTCAAAATCTGTTTTCAAATTTATTAACATCGTTCTTTATGTACTCATTTTTTTGATTCTACACTTTTCCAAACCCAGAAAACCTGTTCACTGAGTGGTTTAATCACGCATGTGATCCCGTTGTACGCCTTAAACGCTCCGCCTCCCCTCTGCCGCTCGCCCACTCTGGTTTCCCACCATCCCTTCATACAAGCTACGAACAGGTGTCATCCAGAGAACCAAAGAATGCTTCGTCCACAGCAAATCCGAAAACTTAGTCTCGTCCGTTACAAGTAACCAAACAATTTGTTCCCACAATTGCTGCCCTGCCATCTGTAATTTCTTTGGTAATCTTGCATGCGAACCACGAGACAAAGCTGAGTTTCTGCTTTCCAGCTTGCCACTAACTACACTTTACCCAAATATTCTACTCCTTCAACTTCTTTCTTCTTTCCTCAAAATGTGCGCTCTCTTTGGACATCATCCGCTTTTTCTTTCACATCAACATTCTACCTTTCTGAGGTCTTGGAAACACAGTGATTTTTCTTATTCCCAAAAGCAGTGGCCTTCCTGGCCCGAATAGCTACAATCCCGTCTCTCTTATATCTGTTCTTTCTAGGTATTTGAGATCATCTAAGATCAACTACTTCCCTTTCTCGAGTGTGAAGAGCTACCGTTAATACGGCTTCCGACCGTGTTGTTCTCTCACTGACCTGATGGCTTTTGTGAACGAACAATGACCGGGATGATGAGGTTCTATCTCAGCCACGCTATTTGAATGAATTTGGTCCCCAAGGCTTAGCACTTACACTCACTCTTTCTTCTGTTTATAAATAACTTCCTTTCCAACCAACTGTCAACCTAATCCATTATTTTGTCGATAATGCCAATGTCCGCTGTAACCTGTCTTAATGCACTTCTTGCCATGCCAAAAACAAAACGATCGTGTAGTTAATGTGTCACTGGACTCTGAGCTCGAACACATTCCCTCGTGGGACCAAAGGAATCATACTGTATTTATTGCCTCAAAAACCTCAGTTTTTCAATTTCTTGAAAACACCACACACACACACACACACCTTTCATTTCTCTCGTGTCACCCAAATGCGATCCACAGGCTGGTCCCCTTCTTGGATGGCCTACAAATTCCCTATTCTGGTTCCCTTATATAGCCCAGTTTGCTTCTCGTGTTGCGCGCAAGGTTGCCTTTCTAGTTCGCATCAGATGCTTTCTTCTCATCTTCCACTGTACAAAGCTCCAACCCACCCTACAAAGGTGATATGAGGCTTCGTCTTCTACCCTTTCCCTTCGTGACCGTGTCAAAACGAAAGGCCATTCGTCGTCTGGTTGACGACGCTTCCCTAACTTACAATTTGCAGTTATGATCCCAATGCCGAGAGTTCGCTTTCCCTGCTCCAACGTTACTATTTTGGGGAGTTGGTCTTTGCGACAGTTCGTTTTTCTGTACTTTTCCTCCTTTATCTCGTACACAAAAATGCAGTCAATCGAGCACAATAAATTCCAGTCACCAAATGTCGTAATTCTCATCTTCAACCTTCTTCCTGGATTGACAAGATGCGGAACATCATCGAAACTGTATCCACGCCGTCGATTACAGTGACACGATCAAATCCCAAGAACGACCAAACTATTGAGAATCGAAACATAGTCCCAACTTCGTGGGTATTGCTGTCAATTTGACTGGAAGCGGCTCAAAGCATGCTGGAATTGTGGTGCGATCAGAATGGCCCACTCTGCGATACTATCCGCCAGCTCAGAGAACACACTACCTCTATCATCATCGTCATCGTACAGAGAAATACCGTGAAGCGAACTTCACTGACCGCTGCTAAACTCACAATGCATACAAGGTTAGTGGTAAAATTTAAGGTGGACAGGGATTGGATCTATTTTCAGGGAGGGAGAAGATGAGCCACTACGGTCAACACACAGAGTACGCAATTGAACCCTGCATACATACTGTTTCAAGCATTCTGATCTGATAAGAAATGACAACAAGAACGCCACTGCTTTCGGTTCGCTGCCATATTCTTCAATGTCTCCAACCAACCAATTGTGGAGTCTTTCGGACCCCAACCAGGAAGGCGAGGGACACCTACTCTACCGATAGTTGTGTGCATTTCCTCATACCTCGTCTCCACGTCATCTGTCGATCTCCATGTGGTTTTCTCCAGCCCAGAGCGGTTACAGCGAACGAAGCGCGGTGCGGCAGACGATGGCTGGGCATACGCAATAGGTGCCCTAGCCAG